TTCTTTTTCTACGGTACTCGTTAGATATATCTTCAACTAATATCCTGGCAGCTGATACACCCAAAGAAACAATTCCCTCCATGGTATTAATATTACCTCGGTCAAAGGTGTCATGGTATGCAAGAAGCCTTTTCTCTGCCCAACCTAATATAGCACTAAGTGTAGAACTCAAAACTTGGGAGTATTCAGGATCCTTTGTAGTCTTTGCATCTTTAGCAACCTCAGCCAGTTGAGAATCACAAGCATGAAGCAGGTCCATCTCAACTTGTCCAGTTACAACATAGCGACTAAACAAAAGCCACGTGAAACAGAGGTTATGAAGCATTTGGTTAATCCCAAGAATTACCCACGTCTTCTTTATATGTTCCATAAGATCATCAACTTCCTCAACCATGGATGTTGCGTCATTAGAATCAAAGCATGCTTCTAAAAGCAGTTCATAGAGCCTGAGATTAAATGGAGAACCATCAGCCCAGTGACAAGAGTCAGAGAAAGAACCATCAGATCTAGTGGCAAGAGACATGACCGCTGATCTAAGACTTTGCATTTGCTCATTGTTCCTTCCAGTCTCCAAAGGCCTGTCTAAAGCACCATGAATTATCTGTCGCAACCGTTGAGAAGAATTCGACTTATCAAGGGGCACACGAGGATGCAACAAAAGACCTGCCTCAAGAACCTTCAATGATCTCTTCAGCCAAGCATCATATTCTTGCTGATCCGTAAAATCAGTAGACTTTAGCTGCTGTAACAATTCTAAAGGAAGAACCACTGACTCAATCTTCCTTCCAACCTGAACAAAAATAAGCCATTAACTTAATTAAAGCTGAGAACTTTGCAGTTATTACGAAGACGCAAATGTCAAAACACTCTCTTATCCACAATAGTACCCAATTTAAGATCTATCACAGATAAGTCAATGACAACATCTATATCACAAGATCACGAAATTAAACTTGTATTCAACTAAAATCAAGCTCTAGATTTATTCTAATTAGAACTAATCCATCTGAACAGTAAGAATTTGACCAAGTCAAGCTAAAATTCAGCTCAATTAGGATCACAGAGATCCAGCGAGAAAGATACTGCAAAATTGAAATTGAGCTAACCTGACTAGCAGCAATCCTAAGAAAAGCTCTACGAACACGCGAATCAACAGCCTCCGATACTCGCATTTGGATCCGCATAAGCTCACCGACAGTAGTAGGACGCTTCGACTTACCATTAGAACCCGAAGCAGAACCAGAACCAGAGCCAGGACTCTTATTAGATCCAGGCGAAAGCGAAGAAGAAGACCTCAATCCCAAAGCCTTCTTCATCTTACTAGCGGCGGCTGAGGTCAAAGACCGCTGAATCGCCGGCGTAGCAGGAGAGCCATTAGGAGAATCAGGATTCGAAACCGCGACTGAAACAGCCGACGAAAGAGGCTTCCCGGTGGCGCTACGACATGCGGCGACGAAGATCTCGTAAGCAGTGAGACGGAGATCGGAATCGGAGAGCTGAACGGCGAGTTGTCCGAGTGGTGACGGTGGTAGATCGGAAGACATTGAAGAAGCGCGTGAAGTCGCCGATTGTGACGGCGGTGGTTGTGTAGTCTCTCTCTTGGAGTGACCCAGAGACAGCTCTCTGAAGAGATGAGCCATTTTTTTTTGGCGTGAGAGAGAGAGAGAGAGAACAAGAACAGCTCTTTTTTGATACAGTTACTTAAAATAATTTTGAGAAGACAAATGGCATTATTGTAAATTATTGTTTAATTAGTGATTATTTTAAGGAAATATTCAATTAGTGTTAGTTATTGGATTTGATGTTTTAGTTGTTTACTATCTATAAATAAATCATTTTCGATTAAGTCAAGGGAACGAGTGAATTAGGTAACTAAGAAAAGAAAAAAAGAGACATAACAATTTATGAATCTTTTGCTATTCAATATTGGATTTTTTTCTTTTGGTTTTTAAATATATAATTCATATCATTGGCTGTTATAGAAGAAAAAAAAATAGTAATTTGTAATTGATATATTTTTTTGCACATAACATTCTAATATAATTATTAAAATGGACAATAAAATCAAATCTTAAATTTGAAATACTTATTTTGAAATTATTTTTTAACGGAAAAAAAATTTGACTGAAAAATTAGCATGCTACAAAATTAAGTTTTTTTTTTTTAATAATCAAAGAGGTTTTGGACCGAATCACATATATTCCTTCAAGCACGAGAGCAAAACATGTTATATGGTCTTATCCCAAACGCTACTCGAACCGGCGACCTCTAAACTTTTGCCATAGATTTTTACCAATTGAACTATTAGCATTTGGTGAAAATTAAATTATTAAATCAGTAAAAATTTTAAAACAGTGAAATCGAGGAAAATATATTTACAAGTAATCAAACTATTTAGTAGTACTGGTAATATTTTATTGTATGAGATATTGAAATTATAATAAGTATGGATTAATTCAATTAGCTATCGATTAGATTGTAATAATTATAATAAGACTTTGGATGAAAACATAATTGACCGATTAAAATAGAAGTGGGAAAAGGAGCTGGAGCATCAGAGGCGAACAGCTTGGAGACGGTCTCACGCTCATGTTTCATGATCCTTTTTTTTGTGGCCAAATTGGACCACATACATATACATATATACTTTTTTTTTTTTAATAATTAAATTGTTTCAACGAATGATATAAATTTCAAAGAATGTAAAATATGATAAGAGGTTAAACAACTTCACGTTTTCACTAGGAATGGTTCCTAATGTTTTCACTAGGAATGGCGAGTGGAGGTGGTTTCTTTGATCGCCCGTAGATGGTCCTGTAACCGACATATTTGTGGATAAGTCCATTGTTATCATTGTGTTTTTGCGTTAGTTTGCGGAGAAGATGTAAGCGCTTAATCTAGAGGTTTTGAAGGCTGGTTTCTTCAAGATTTGGTTTGCTCGTAGCAACTAGAATGGAACTCTAACTCTTTGGAGTTGTGGAAATCATGCACATTTCCGAGTTTAACACCTTGGAATCAGTGTTTCTACTTTCGTTTCCGCTTTGGTTTACGTTTTCCTCCATTGTTGTTTTGTTGTTGTTTGTGTATTCTGTAGATTTTGTTCTGTTTTATGGTATTAGTATTCTTTGTAATCTTTGTCAAAATTCGAAAAATGGTATAACTACTTCACATTGATACCAAAAAAAAAAAAAGAAAAATCACATTATAATTATTCGTTTTTTTCGAATATTAGTTTCCAATTTCCAAACATTTTATACTACTTAATTAAACAAAAATATAACCAACAATTAAACCTAAATACCAGTTTAACCAATTATATTAAATAAATTGATATCATTAAACGGTCTAAACTTTAAACCAATTTTAATCGGCTGTGTCTACTCCATTGACTGTCGCAACACTTGCGCCTGCTGTTCCATTGCTCGCCTTCCCTATAGCTCATTCCCCTCTGCCTCCGTGTCCGAATCCTCACCAACCGTCTCCACCAGCCTCGCCGGTTCAAGCTACTTCGCCATCATTGCCCAGTTCAGCATCTGTCGCATTATCCCCAGCGCCATCGTCCTCGTCGGTCAATCTCTACACTGGTTCATCGTTGTCGAAACACCAAAACTCACAGTGATGAGGCTGTTGCATCGACAAACCAAAATTGATCTATTACCCAATCAACCCCATCTAATTCTACCCCACAAACTTCTGGCCCATTAGTAAACTCTAGCCCCCAAAATCAAAGCCCACTAAGCCAACCATCGCTTCCTTCATCATATTCGTCCTCGTCGTCTCCTTCCTCGACCTCAAACAAATCCACATAGCACCTCCAATATCGTCCTGACGGTTCTATTGACAGATATAAAGCAAGGCTTGTGGCACACGGTTTTAATCAACAATATGGTTTGGACTACTCAGAGACCGTTTAGTCCGGTTATAAAATCTACTACAGTTCGAGCGGTTCTAGAGGTCACAGTCAAGCGTAACTGGAGTATTCACCATGTGGATATCAATAATGCGTTCTTGCAAAGTACTCTCAATGAAGAAGTCTACATTTCTCAACCGCCGGGGTTTGTTGAAGGCGGTTAATGCTTCTCTCGCGCGTTGAAAGACCTTGATCCCTTAAGTTATTTCTTAGCTAGGCATTGAAGCTACTCGCATCAACAAGAGACTTCATTTGATGCAAGGGAAATATATTAGTAATCTTCTTGCCAAGACACGAATGTTGAACGCACATCTAGTCTCCACCCCCATGGTAGACTTTGCTTACCGGTAAACCTCTTGAGGATCCTAAGGAGTATCAGCCTTTTTTTGGGTAGTCTCCAATACTTGTCGTTTACTCGACCAAAATTAATAAAAAAAAATATATTTTTAAAAATATTGTCCCCCGGTATACTGCGGATTAAAATCTAGTCTATATATAGCATTTGAAGTCAAATTAGACAAAAGAAATAATCTTCTATCAAAAAGATATGTTATGAACTAGAAATTCAATAAGACAAGAGAACATATGAAGAATCGTATGAGTTTTTTTCACTATCAAAAAGATATGTTATGGATTAGATATATCTCACATGCGTATTTGAGACCATATGTTTGTAACGGTCATCCAAGAAGAAGTGTTATAAATAATATTATATACAAGATTATACAAGATTTTACACAACTTATATCAAAACATAAACCTTAATATTGTATCATGTAGTCTATAGAACAATTTCCGAAATCTTTTTGTTGATAACAAATTATTTCCAAAATTTTAATATCTATATTATTATTAACAATTAATAATACAAATAATTAAAAAATATTAAGATTTATTATTTTATTTTTCATTTTTGACTGCTTTGAATATCATATTAGTACAAAAAATAAATAAAATTCGAAATATTATTTTACACATACATATTGTGGTTGATGACAAAAAAAAAAAAAAAAAAAAAAATACATATTGTGGTTTGAAAATTCAAAACCAGACGATACGTTGCATTATTCAATTAATAAAAGAAAGTGTGTGCATAACAAATAAAGATATTTTTAGATATCTTGTTTACTAACTTTATGTTCGAAAATTTGAAACCAGTATAAGTTGTGTCCATGGTACTAAAACACAACACATACTTCCACCATAAGATGCAGCACGAAGATATTTTTGGATCATATTTTTCTTCGAACAAGACCTTTGAAAAAGTCGAAACTGTCATTGAAAATATACACTCCGCGTTAGCTTTAACATGTAGTGTAATGTTGTTATCCCATTTATTGGATTCAACTGTGGGAAACAACTGCTTAAATAACTTTACCTATTGCCATCAGGGTGAAGCTCATACATTTGATTGTCATCTCCAATAGCAAGCAAATACCCCGAAGATGTCAAACCCTGCAAAAAGAGTTTGAAAGAGATGCTAAGTGGATCAAACAAATTGGCTTTGTATCCGAATGCAAATACCAAATATGGACAACATATCATATGGTATATAACCAAAGCTTAAAAGTATCTTACCTGGATAGTCACAACATTTTGAACAACTTGGTTCTCTACTTTTTCTTCAACAATCACTCTTTGCTCACTGCACATATACGGTAGAGTGTTTCAGCCAAGCAAACATGTTATAGTGCATAGCCCCTAGTCGTTTCCAAGTACATACTAATTTACAATGTTTAGCCTTTTAACTCAAGTAGTGGCAAAAATGAGATACGAATATAATCTACATCAGTTCGGATTCAGATAACAGAAACCCTTCAATGACAAGCAGACATAAAATGCAATAGAAAGTCACCTGTGTAACCATGTTCTGTAGTAAAGCTCCTCGAGAGATTTAAAACCTGTAAAGTGCAGTGGGATGATGGAGACTAATTATATGGGGAGTAATATGATTATCATTTCTCTGAAGCTCATCTCATCTAAATAAGTAATCAACAAATAATTTTATGGAGGATACTTCAAAAGAGACAAATATGCTCATAAAGAAGCAAGCAGCTAACCGAATCTTTAAGCAGTCTCTGAGATCCGAGGTTTAACATTACCTTGTTCCATGAATAGATCAAAGAATGTTTCAAATTTATGAAAAAAACCACCAAGAATTTCTTCTCTTTTAAGTAAGTTTGGCGCAGGTGACATTTCTTTTAGTCCAGCATTTAAGCATGTGGTTGGTTGCTCGTTGTCCACATTCAACCCCACACCTGCGAGAAGGATCTGTCACGTTCTTTTAATCTACAAGTAGAACAAATTAAAGCAACAAGACAACGAGCAGTGCGCTTCGACTTGTTACAGTCATAGTAATGCTTATTACCAACACTGACATGAAACTTCTTTGATCTATATGTCGAAGTACACAAAATGCCTCCAACCTTAAGGCCATCCAAGTAGAGATCATTCGGCCATTTAATCTTAACATCAATGTACGGCAAACCCTGCAATTGATGAACTTCAAATAAGCTAACTGCTAATACAAATGGATCAAGAACACACAAGAAAAGGTTATTTTCAAAAAACATACTTTCTTGTCACAAACATCTTTGACTGCCTCGGTTACAGCAAGAGATACCACATACTGTACCAAAGGCACAACACGACCATCTTCCATATCTAGACTAAAAGAAAACATAAGACAACCCTTTGGAGATTCCCATACATTCTTTGTTCTGCCTGCATATTCATCAAATCACACACACAGTTTCAAATTTTCATATCTAAATTCTACTTGCTCACTATACAATCTAATCCAAAACTGTTAAAAAAACTCTTACCTCGACCTTTAAACTGAATATCTGTGACACAAACTGAACCAACTGGAAGCTCAGAGAAGTTACTGAAAGAAACTAAAAAATCAGACTTTAATACACAAAGGTAACAAAACTAACCTTAAAGAAGAAACTAAACAGAGCCACCACTTACTGAGAAACAACATCGTGAGTGGACGACAAGCGTGGAGACCAAACGAGAAACCGCCCAAACCGATGAGTTATAATAGAATTCATAAAGAGTGACAGATTGAAAGCATCATCATCATCTTTAACCAAATGCTTAGCCTCAGATTCTAAAAAGATTGAAACTTTGGTGTCATCTGGGAATCTAAGTGAGTTCTTGTCCTTGAGACGCTTTGCTATCTCAGTTTCCACAGAGGACTTCCCACATAAAACCAAGCTACAAGAAGCATCACTCTCCATTGCTAAAATCAAACAAAACCAAGAGAGTTTCTAATCATCATCAAGCAATACTCTTTATTAATGAAAGCATCAAAACTGTGACATCATGGATCAAAACCTGAGGCAGCCACAAAGAAAGATAGACGACGCAGTGGATTAAGAGAAGTGAGAAGCGCCAGTGTACGAACCAACTCGAACTGCTGCTTCCATTAAGAAAACACAATCATGTAACCATCTTGCTCAGAAGAAGCTTTGGGATTTAGTGTTAAGAGTTAGAACCTGAGATTTTTCGGAAGATTGGTGAACAGAGGAATCGCCAAGGGATCAGAAGAAGCTTCGGGATTTATTGTTCGAAGGTTTTAAATGGTGAGGTTTGAGAGCTTCGCCGGGAAACCAGAGAGGAACGACGTCGTGAGAATCGCCGGAAAATGAAGATAATCAAATGGATATATATCTTCGAGAGAGAAGTCGCCGGCGAGCGTTGAGGTGGCTGTAGTTGCCGTCGTCGGAGAAATCGAAGCAGAAGCTTTCGATTTTGGTTTACGACGGGAGAAGATGAATTGGGCCTGAGGTAGAGATTATTAGTTATGGGCCTCAATCATTTAGTCTTTCAGCCCAAATCCGAAATCAACAAATATGCAAAACAATGGATGTTCTCCCAATTCTGAAGCAGTCAGCTATAACTTGATATATAAGGAAGAGACGTAAGTCCAGCCGTAAGCTAAACACAAAAACAGAGAGAGATTAAGGATCCGAATGGAGAAAGCGTATCGAGCAATGCATATCAAGCAAAACAAAAGCAGATCAAACAGATTTGTCAATTGACGGTACAAATGCAAATCAAGTGGTTCGAAAGCTAAAAAAGTATGTGTTGAATAGTGAAAGCAAATCAAATATGTATCAATTAAAAAAATTATTGACTTTATTGAATTGTTTTATATTTGATAATCTTAATAATGATGAATTGAAATTGCTTTATTTTGAATTTTATATTGTAAATTTTTAAACATGTAAATATGTAATGTTATAAAATCAAAATATTTATTTAATACAACATATATGGTGTATAATAATCATGAATATAAAATTAATAAGTACAATTTTTGTGGTGCATTAAATTAGTAAACTATGATAGATAAATAAAAATATTTAAAGAAATATAAGAAAACATCGAATAACGGAGCCAAAAAAATAAATTAAACTACTAATTATATTAAAAAAAACTTTGAATAACTTTATTATAACAATTTTGTGATTAACCATAAAATATTATTTTATTTAAAATTTTTAACAAATAATTTTTAGAGTGATATATTAAAATATTTATGTGTTTCATTATTATAGCAGTATTTTTTTAACACCAACAAATCATATATTATATCATAAGGGTTTACAAGACTCATAACCATTGAAACAAATAAAAGAAATTGAACACAATTTCGATCAAGAAGTGGAAGTGACCCTGTTTTCCAAACGGAAGAATTACATGCAACAGAATAAATCTGTTAAGTCCCTTCTTCATACACTCGTACAAGGCTAACATCTTATAGATAAGAGTCCTAAATATTTTCCGCATCACTCTAATTAAACAATAAATTTGATATGTTGTTTGAGATGGTTCTGAATATCTTTTGAAACTCCATGTACATCGTCGGTTAATGACCATGATTTTATATGTCCATGGCCGATTATCATATTAATCATCTCCATGTCGACTAATTCATCACATTGTCTTAACCATGATATTCTCGGATCCCAGAGTTGTCGACCGAGGCACACCAGTTGCGAGGAAGAGTCGCTACGAGCCTCAACTGATCTTTAGTTACTATCTCTTGCAATGTTTCACTTGGAAGAGAACCAGAATCAATAGGAAAAAGGCAGGGAAATGCCAAATTAACATCGTAAACATGTAAGATGCTTGAACGGAACCGTCAAGGAACGGAACCATCTAGATAAAACATTACCGTTCCCATGAAGAGAAGGCAAATAATTTGATTCCACCGTAATGGAAACCATAAGACAACTCTATGAAAGAGAGACATGGCAGTTACTATAAAATAAGAAAACTGCACCATGAGAGAAGAGAGCATCGCATTTGTCAAATGCTTGATGTAACATACATTGGATATGGTGCCCATGTGGTGAGTAGTGATCGTGGGGCAAACGATGACGCCAACGCAAGAAGAGAAAGAGGGGGTATGATCGCCCAAAAAATCGCCCACGAGAGACCACCTTGATGCTTTAAAAATCTTGAAACACTTTTCAGTATTATAATTTTAGATAATTGTTTGATATTTTTATCATTTGAAAATCATGTCAATACTTTATAAAATATGCATCAGTCTTATTAATTTCAGATTTTATCTTGAATTTTGAAATTTCAATATCATGTTTAATGTTTCAAATGAAAAAGTTTGGTGTTTTATAAATATGGAAATAAGAATTTTCCGTTCTTGGAGGCATATTTTATCATTTTAAATTATTATTTAGACAATGAAAACTTAAACTATAATGCTGGATTATTTCAAGTGATAAATAAATATATTTTTTTTTAACTACTTGATGCTCAAACTAGGTAAAATACAATAATGGTTAAAAAAATAAATATAAAACTTAGTATTAATTAGAAATTTATAAATAATTTTGACACTTTTGAAATTCTGAAAAAATCAGATAATGAGTTGAAATTTTTGTGTTTTAAATAACTTTGAATAATATATACTAAAAAAGGTACAAAATTTATGAAAATTTGTACATTTGTTGTTAAAAATAATATCAAATACAATATCGAATAATTTTAAATTTCAATACCATTTTGCTGATATTAATGAACAACATTTCTGTTTTCAAAACCTTAAACTAAGAGTCGCTTCATACTTTAAATAGTCTATAATTATATATTTTTAACTACTAATTGATGTTCAAACTAGCTAAAATACAATAATGGTTATAGTAAACTTAATAATAAAACAATTAATTACATTTATGTCAAAAATAAATATAAAACATAGTGTTAATTAGAAATATATATATCATTTTGACACTTTTTAATTTCTGCAAAATTCAGAAAATGAGTTGAAGCTTTTGTGTTTTGAATACCATTTGAAATATATACTACAAAAAGGAACAATATTTATGAAAATTTGTGATATTAATGAACAACATTTGTGTTTTTAAAACCTTAAACTAAGAGTTGCTTCATACTTCAAATAATCTATGATAAATTTTGAAATTATATAATTTAATTATAATAAAACTTCAAACAATTAATGTAGATAATATATAATGATTTATCGTTTTTGTTATATAATTTAATCTGAAATAAATTTATGTTGAACTACCATATTTGTAAAAGATTATAATATTTTTTGAACTTTGTGTATGTGAAATTGCAACAAATTAATAAATTTTCTGAAATCTCTAAAGTTAACATATATGTGCATCAATTTATCTATTATCTTAAGAAAAAGTTTGTTCATTTTTATTAACGTGGAAAATTGTGATTTATATTTGCATTTAGTCTATATATCGTATTACAGTTATAACATATTCATTCATTTGTTCTGAATTTTAGTTATTAAAATAATTATGTAAAAATATTTGTTACATGTAAACTAGAAATACCCTAAATTGATATACTTCAACCGAAAGTTCATAAATGACATGTGCTGTTGTTATATGCAAATAAAAATTGTGATGATTTTCAACATTACATATATTTAAACATATTCTATATGGCATACATTTTCATAAACATTTTATAAATTTTTAATTTAATTGCATATATTAAAATAGAGTGATACATAATATTAAAACTACAAATAAAATGTGAAGTATATTCTTCAAGTTTCTGTAAGAAAATATATATATATATATATATATTAACTTTTATTTAAAAAAGATAATGTTACTTTTAAAGCAATGTATGTAGATCACATTCTATAATTTTATAAATCGTTAACTATATTTGTTTTAGTTAAAATAAAAAGATTGAATTAACCATATTTTTCATGACTAGCTGTAAAATTACTGCAAAGCTATACACATAATTTTTCTCAGCTAAAAAGTGTTTGTAATAGTATAAGAGAGAGGGGTTACAATTCACGAATTTTCAATACTTATTGTATATAGTATAACAACAATATTGGTTTAGTCATTAAAAAGCTTCTCTATATCCCAAAATCAGGTAGCTTTACTTAAAGATCACTCATTCAGTAATATGTTACTTGGTTTAATATCTCTATATATGAAGCATTTGAGGCCAACATCCACTATGTAAATTGTCCAATCTTCTCTCCACACGGGAGTGGATGCAGCTTGTGTTCTTTACAAAACGCCCTTGAAACACGAGATTATGGTTTTGAATGGAGAAAGCAAATCTGGCATAGCAGATCAAACAGTTCAAACATATCCAGTAGAACAAAAGTACATTAAGCAAATATGGCATATTAAATGCAGATCAAATTTTATTAATTTTTTTATTAGAAAAGCTCCAAATCTCTAGCTTTTCACTGTTCATAGTGCAGTACAAATATCCTTCTTATTTTTGATCTGCTAGCAGAACAATTATTTTTAAATAATATTTTCTTTTTGAGGAAATTTCAAAAATACCCCTTTTCCAATAACACTTTTTAAAAATACCGCTCTTTCTAATTTTATCATAAAGTCACTATAAATTTTGAAATTTATCAAAAAGATATGTGTAAGCTTATATTTATAGACACAAATAATCTTTATATGTGTGTAAATTTATAAATATATATTTCATAAATACCTTTTAAAACCTTTTAAAAATCATTTAAAAACCTTATAAAAACTTTGTAAACCTTTTAAAAACCTTATAAAACCTTATAAATGCCGTTTAGAACCTTTTAAAACCTTGTAAATATTTGGATTTAGTCACCCAGTAGTAAAGATGATCTTGATGTACCTTATCAACCATATAAAAGTTTATATTTTTTCATATTTGAAAAGGGGTATTTATGAAAATGGATAGAAAAGATGGGTATTTTTAAAAAGGGTACACCAAAAGGGGTATTTCTCAAAAATTCTCTTTCTTTTTTGAATTGCCATTATATTTATTTTGTGTGAATGGAGGAAAAATGGCAGTTCCCATGTCGTGTGTATTATCTGCTTTTAATATGTCCTTCCATTCACGGCCTATATATTCTTCTTATTTTTCTTTACGTGGAAAGTTATTATTTATAATTGCATTTAGTAGTCTAGAGAATTTAATATAATTATAAAATATTCATTTATTTGTTTTGAATTTTTAGTTATAATAATAGTTGTGTAACAATATTTACTATATGTGAACAAGAAATAGCCTAAATTGATATACAGACTTTAACCATAAAATTTCATAATTGACATGTTAAGTTATATGCAAATAAAAGTTGTGATGATTGTCAACATTACATATATTAGAACATATCCTATATGGCATACATTTTCATAAACATTTTATACAATTTATAATTTAATAAAATATATGAAAATAACATGAAATTAATATTTCAAATAACATGAAATTAATATTTCAAATAATTTGAAATTAATATTTCAAATAATATTAATTTTTATTTAGGGTTTTTAGTTGTTTTAAAGATATTAACTATTATAAAAAATTAGGTTACTTTTTA